AATAAGGTCATATTCTTTTTTAAAGGAATATGATTTATACCAGATTGGTCTAACATGGATATTTTTATTGGCAAAACTGAGATCATACATCCAATTTTGGTAATCAATTACTGCCTGCAAGAAGGAATTAATATATTCTTACACCAAATTAAGATAAGTCTATAATCATTTACATAATTATATTTATTTAGTTTAGATTATTTTTTATTATAAATAAATAAAAAATTAACTTACATAATTACTACAATTCACTACATATATTTTATAATTCGGATTCAATTTTGAATAAGCTGTTATGCTACCACCATTCCAACCAATATGTTTTGGTTCATCAGAATTATAAAATATTGCTATTTCATCATTATGAGTATGTCCATTAAATTCAGCTTTAATTAAATGGGAGAATCTATCAATTATTCTTAAGTATTCTCGTTTCCATGTCTTAAAACAATTATTACTATTAAAAGGTATATGGGATAAAATATGTACAAATTCATTATTCTTTTCTGCTTCAGAAAGAATATTTAGAAGCCATTGCAGTTGATTATCAGGATCTTTTGGATTATACCAAAGCCACCTGAATAAATAAACAAATAATTAAAAAATATATATATATAAAAAATGAATTATAATTAAAATAAATTATAAAATAAAATTTTGAAATTAATAATTATTTTTTAAAAAATTTATTTTTAATAGTAATTATTAATAGCAATTATTACTATTATTATTTTATTATGATTATAAAATCATAATATTTATTTCACATACCAATTGTAAGAGTAACAAATATTACTATTTAAGGCTATAATTCTAAATCCTTTTTTTGGGATAACAGTATAATATCCCCCTTGAAGTATTGTAGAACGTGTAGATTCTGGTAACCAACCATATCCAATCCATAAATTTGCCATTAATTTATAAAGCCAATTTGTAGTTAAATTATCTTGTGTTATATTTTTTGGTGCAAATCTATATTTAATTTAAAAATTTTATATGCAAATGATTCAGTTTAATTACTAAATTAAAAAATATAAAATCAAATGTTTAAAAAAAAAATATCCAAAAAGATTTTTCAAAAATCAAAAATAAAAGACATATTGATATCTTTCAATTATAAAGATATAATTTGCAAAAAATTTATTTTCTAATAATAAAATCAATTTTTCAAAATTAAAATTTCACTAAACTTACTGATTTAAAGGATGTGGTTCATGATTTCCAAGTACTGGATACATTATAGTATTGTTAAAAAGATTATGAATGTAATCATACATTTTTATAAGACTTTGAATATTTCCTTCCTTTGATGTCTCCCATACTCCATGATCTATTATATCACCAGTAAAATATATAAAATCTATATCCTAGAAATTAAAATAAATTTCATTTAAATTGTAATATAAATCTATATCTTATAGTACTTGTAATTTGTTAAGTACATCTAAACTTATGAGCAATATATTCTATATATTAATATAATAATTTAAAAAAAATTACTAATACTAAAATAATTACTAAAATAAAAAAAAATGAAATTTTTAAATAAAAATTAATAAATTTTAAATTTTATGCTTAATTAATCATTGTCTGGATTTTATTAATCTTTTTTTATTGAATTATTTATAATTCTGGTACCTGATGTGTATCCTTCATATGATGTAAAGCATCAATAATTGCATGCCATGGAGTATCACAGGATCGATAATCTCCCCAAAATCCAGCAAATGAAGATATATCAGTTTTATTTTGATCTTTTCGGCAGCAAACTGGTTCTCCACAATTTGCATTACTATTTACTTCATAGAGAGGATCATAATGCAGATCCGTTATTTGTAAAATTTTAATTTGTTCTTGTGTTTCATTTTCAGTAATTGTTATATTAAAATTGTTATTAATATCAATATTCCAATCAAATTTAGAATCATTTAAAGGACAAGACTTAGATTCCAGGACAACACCACAAATTGTACTAGCTGTTAAATTTGGTTTGGAATCTATTATATATAAAATAATAGGCTACAAAAATAAAAAATTATGATAATCTATAAATAAAATTAAAATATTTTGATAAATAAAATGATAAATAAATAGTTAAATATAAAGCTTAATTACCAAGTTTGATTCAATAACTCCTCTACATACTTTTTCTGTTTGGATGTTTAAAAGCACACATAAATTAATTACATTGTTTCTTATATCTTCTTCAGACATTCCTTTATGTCGTAAATTTATAAATGTTGTTAAAATTGTTTTACATATTATACATATTTTAGTACTTGAATTAGCTGGGAAAGATCTCCAATCAGAGTTTTGAAGTTCCATGGGAATCTTTAAAAAGTTAATCATATTCTTGAACAATTCTCCTTCATGGTTTAAATTTGTCCATAATTCAATTTCATTTGAAAATGAAATTATATCTACATCTGTTAATAAATAAATTTTTTATTATTTTTATTAAACAATTCAAAAAAAATAATTAATATAATAAATAAATAAAATAATAATTAATAAATAATAATAATTAAATAAAATAATTTTCTTAAAAATTTTAATTAGCAAAAGAAAATTAAAATTTATAAATTACATTAAATTTAATTCTTTATTTATATTATATTTATAATTGAATTAAATATAATTCTTTAAATAATATTTTATTAATTTAAATACAATATATGTTTATTAGAATATTATTCAATTAGAAAATATTATTAGTTTTATTATTATTCGTAATTATAACATATATCGTATATAACATATTTTTATTAAAAAATGAAAATACTTTTATTTTCTTAAATTTATTTTTATTAATTTACATTTAATTTTTAATTTTATAATTTACTTTAAATTAATTATTTTATCTCACCTTCTATATTTAAAGCGGAACTATTAATAATTAAAATTAATAAACTCAAAATTAATTGTTGGAACATTTTGTTTTTCCACTTCAATTCAATTCAATACTACGTTTAATTCAATGTTTCCGTTGTTTCCCCCTTTTTTTTTATCTTGTTTGAATATTTTTTTACTGATAAATGGTGCAATATTTTCTTGAAATGATTATTCTCTGATTTTAAAAATAAACATTCAATATTAAGAAATATAATTAAAATTTAAATAATCTTATATACTACACATTACATCTAAAGTTTTAATATATTTAAAAAAGTAATATATATATATATATATATATATATATATATATATATATATATAT